GTTGTATGAAGTAGCCAAATCAGGATGATTTGAAGGAAGACTTTTTTCTCGAATTTCAAGTGATTTTTCGTAAAATGAAAGTGCTTTCGAATACTCTCCCATCTTGTCATACACATTACCGATGTTGTTGTATGAACTAGCCAAAGATGGATGACTTGAAGGAAGACTTTTTTCTCGAATTTCAAGTGCCTTTTCGAGAGATGAAAGTGCTTTCGAGTACTCTCCCATGTTTACATATACACTACCGATGTTATTGTACGAAGTAGCCAATGAAGGATGATTTGAAGAAAGACTTTTTTGTTGAATTTCAAGTACTTTTTCGTAAAATGATAATGCTTTTGAGTACTCTCCCATGTTGTCATACACACAAGCGATGTTGTTGTATGAAGTAGCCAAATCAGGATGATTTGAAGGAAGACTTTTTTGTTGAATTTCAAGTGCTTTTTCGTAAAATGAAAGTGCTTTCGAGTATTCTCCCATGTTGAAATATAGCATACCGATGTTGATGCATGAAGTAGCTAAAAGGGGATGATTTGAAGGAAGAGTTTCTTGAAAGATTTTAAGGGTTTTCTCGTAGAATGAAAGTGATTTCGAATACTCTCTCAGCTTGTTATACACCACGCCGATGTCGTTGTACGAACGAGCCAAATCGGGATGACTTGAAGGAAGAGTTTTTTGTCGAATATGAAGTGCCTTTTCGTAAAATGAAAGTGCTTTCGAGTACTCTCCCATGTTGCTATACACGATACCGATGTTGCCGTATGAGCCAGCCAATTCAGGATGATTTGAAGGAAGAGTTTTTTCATAGATTTCAAGTCCTTGTTCGTGATACCAAATAGCCTTTTCATAATCACCTTGACCATTTTTGACAGATCCCAGACAAATATAATAAATCGCTTTTTTGCTCTCATCAGATGTCTGTTCGAGTAACACGTTATAAAGTTCTTCAGCCTTATTAAATTGACCAATTTTAAGCAATAATTTACCCAATCTTTTCCATCCAGTATCGCCACTAGCTTCTTCTCGTATTCGATCAGTAAGTAATCGTAGTTGTTGATCATCGTCGGACGTTAATTGTAATGTAATTTGATAAAGTTGATTATTATTGTCTATTACGTTAATTGCACCGACTCGAAAGATGGTGTGCATTGAGAAGAGAATTTCATTTTCTTCCTGAAAATAGCTCAGCTTCTTGATAGAGGCAAATGGTACTGATTTGACACTAGGATCAATGGAAATTATGAATAGAATACCCACCATATCTTCATTTCCCAATGCACCATGAGCAAAACCGATGGACACGTTTTTATCTGTACTGGTGGATAAGAAATTGTTAAATGATATAAGTCCACCTTTGGTTTTTTGAAGTTTTTCGAAGTCTGATTTCATAAGACCTTGTCCCCGATAAACTAAAAACGGTTCGCTTCCATAACTACTGACTTGCTGTTCGTATAACTGTTGAATTTGTCCATGTACATCACGTAGGAAAAAACCCATAGTAATAATTATATCAGCGTCCATTGTTCGGAGACCATAATTAAGCATAGAATAGATAAATGGTAAGTGAGTATACCACCAAATAGGTGATTTAGCATGGTATTCTTTTTCGAATCGATCAATATTGATTGCCGATCCGGAATTATTTTGTCGGCAATAAGTAACAAAGTCCTTGGTAGCCTGGCTATTGTGTTTTAGATTAAGAAGAATTTCTTTGAATAGCTGAGTGTACATAAATGTTGGGTCTAGCTGGTTTAAATTAGCAGTTGAAGACACTTCATTTACAGTCAGAAAACTCATAGCAATCGAATCCTGATTATATGTGTTGATGCCCGATTGTAATGCTTCGCACATGTCATCGATGTTGGTATGAACACTCTTGATTTTTTGCCATTTTGTTGTCCATTCTTCATGTAAAGATTCACTACTATTGAAGATATAAACACCATTCAACTGAGGAATATCACTGATGAGGGGCATAATTTGTTGAGCGATAGTGTTCTCGACAACGAGAAAAGATTTGATGTCTTCACGATCGGAAAGAAAATCAATGCATTCATCTCTCTGTGTAAAGAAGTTGACATTGTCGCCACCGGTTTGTGTTTGTGTCAAAATATGTTTGTAATCTTTATTTATTTCATCCATAGACTCATCCAACCAAATGAGTAAATGATCATGTACGATACGTCTTCGCTGTTCGATATTATTAGGTATTGCGTCCATTTCATGAATTATGTGGATTGTTCTATTGAATAGATAAAAGTGAAGCAGACGAATAAGCCCGATTGTTTAGATGAGAATCAAATCTCTTTATCTAAAAAGTTGGACGGCACCATTATCTATCTTTTTATGTTTATTTAAATAAATCGGAATAGAACTTTGTTTTATTCTGTATCTCTTCATATACATTATAGAATTAGGTGAAGACAAAGAACGAAAAAAAATAATACATTTTTTTTAACTCTCTTCACGGATACGAGATAATATCATCACTAATAGAAAAAACACATATTTTCGTTATACATAAAACACGCTAAGAGTCTCGCAGTATTTTCTTTTGTGTTGAAAATTTACATTGAAATTACACAAGGATACAAATTTAACGATACATTTTTCTTATGTTCTATCTAATACACATATTATCAGATAAGAGGTTGAATAATAATTAATATTAAACTCGTTGTTCGATATATTAACAATTTATTCAGTATTGAAGTTGTAATATAAACTAGCAGAAGTACCCGTCGTTGCCAACACACGGAGGATATGAATGCGGTGGGATATATTAATGACACTCACATCATCAAAACTTCTGATCTTTATCTCGTTGCGTTTTCGGGTGAATGTAAAAACAATTGTACACTCGGGCGTTTTTAGACGGAACATTTGCTGTAGTGCTTCAACAATTAAATTATTAAACAGAGCCTCAAATACACCTTATTTTCATAGAGCAGACCTGCCTGTTGTAGTCTGCATAACGTTTGTACACAGTAATATTAGAACAATAATTTAGTAGAAAAAGAAAGCAAGCAAGACACGAATAGCAAAACAAACATGATTAAACCTTTGATTACGGTTTTTTAAAGGTGAATCTTATTTTTCTTTCTAAAACAGCCTAAAATAACTTTTACTCATACATATTAGCATTGAATAGTGGGTGTGGGTGTATCTTATCTATCTCACTTACTCTCTCAAAGAAAGGAGTCTTTTCGATTTAGCCTAAATGATTATTGTAATGACAGTAATATCTCCAAAACTTCAGATACCATATATGGGTGATCCCTAACCAATGGGTGAAGCAAAAAACGACTTGATGTAATAAGTTATGTAAGATGCAGGCAATTCAAAATTCGAGCACTCTTTTATTTTTTACTTTTAAGTAGTTCGATGCAGCTCGACAAACTGAATTAGAATATATATAGCATATTTGAAAAAAAACGTTTTCTTGTGTCAGAAAATCGAGAAAACAGTAGAAACTCAAGGCTTTGAAAAATTAGGGTTTTTGGAAAAAAGAATATCTGCAATTCCTTTCATAATTTTTGCTAACGCTTAGAAAAGTCATTTACTTTAGTCTACACGATAAACTGAATCTAAAAATATAATTGCTAGTCACGCTTTTTTTGTGCATGTTTGACAAATGCTGTCTATGTCAACAGGTCAGAAAATCACTTTGTTAGAAGAAAAACGCATCAAGTCATTTTTTCGTTAAGATAGATAATTTATTCAAACGACATTAGATTCACCATGTTCAATTGATGAGAATAAAGTATTTTATCATTTCAACTCGCTTTCTTGGCTGAGATGTTGTGTTTACTTTCACAATATCTTCAATCGATTACTATATTATAAAAGTCAAGAAAAGCTTTCAACAGTACATTGATCTTTTAATTATTTTTATGCAATGAAAGCCATTCAAATTATATAAAGACTTGTCTCACATGTCTCGAAATGATCCAATCCATCTTGAAGATGTGAGTGGCATAAAGCCCCTCGTTTTTGAGAACCTTAAGTTTTTCCGATTTTCTGGCACGAAAAAATGATTTTTTTCTAAATATACTATATATATTCGGAGTCAGCCCGTCGAGTTGCATCGAACTGTATAAAAATTAAAAACAAAAAAAAAAGTACTCGAAGGATGTCCGTGTTGGTGTGGTTGTGAATCTGTGTTCTTCATCTATAACCGGACCCACCCACACTCCGCACCCAGCTATAGTAAATTAATCCTGATAAGTGACTACGTAAACTTACTCATGATAACACTGTTGATCAATACATACACGACTTGTGAATCTTATAAATCATACTGCTACGATATTATACCATGTTTTCATTTGAACTATTGCTAAATTCCTGAGATTTTGTGCGAAAAATCATATCGTTGAATTTTACTAATATGACGTTTTATTACGTGAAATATCATACAATTCAATGGAAGTTGATCTATAATGGCCTATGATGAGCTCTGTTCTAAATTTGAATACGCAAATGCATTACTATCGATTAAAAGCGCTATTTTATCTTCTTTTATGAATAATCATGTCTTCATCTGACTCTATCTCTTTGTTTCTATATTTTTCAACTTTTCGCAAATGCCCTCGAGCCATCCGCTCGGGTTCATTGTAGTATTGTTTAGCTTTTCGTTTATTACCCAGAAGACGATAGGCGTCACCGAGATGCTCACAAACGCAGGTCGTTACCAGATGATCAAGAGGCAGGTTAAGTACATAACTAGTGAGCGCACGTTGGTGATACACGATTGCCTTTCTACACTGGCCAGCCTTACATAAAACAGCACCAATATTATCCCAGGTCGTTGCCAAGCCTGGATCACGTGGACGTAAATACGTTTTACGCTTGGTTAAAACGTACCGATGATAAAACAACGCTCTTTTCAGTAGTCCAAGTTCCTGATAGACCATACCAATGTTGCTCAATGTGGTGAGTCCCAGTGTAGCTCGAACTGGAAGAAACTTTCTTTCAAGTGTTAATGCTTTGAAAAAATATATCATAGCTGATTTATATTGTTTTTTTTGTAATAAAAGAAAACCAATGTTGTTCCACGTAGTTGCCAATTGGGTTCGGTGTTCAGAATTCTTTTGTGATAATCCTTGTGTAGCTTTTTTATAGTAGAAGAAAGCTTTCTTATCTTTTTCCAGTAGTTCGTACACAGCAGCAAATCCTAAATAAGTTGACACAAGATCTGTATGATTATGAGAACTGGAATTAAGAACGATTTGTTGTGATTGCGATAAGTAGTCTAGTGCGTCTTGGTATTCACCCATGCTCTGACATACGAGAGAAAGACCTAATAAGGTACTAGCCACATCTTTGTGATTTTGTGGAAGAATTTGTTTCTGGATTTCTAGCGATTGTTTGTAGTAATTACGAGCTTTAACATAGTTGCCAATGCTGTTGTATATCTCAGCTATGTTTGTAAAAGTTATCAATAAATCAGGATGATTAGATGGTAAAAGCTTCAATTGACAAGGTAAAGCTATTTGTTCGCACCAATAAAGTGCTGGTATGGCTTGGTGCAAATCCTTCCAAGCCATGCCTAGATTGCTATACAGAAAAGCAATACTTTCATTTTCTTCTAACTTCCTGCTCCGAACTGTATCCACAGCCACTTGATGATATTGCAGAGCACGGCGATAATGATGACGCGCTCCTGCGATCAGACCCAATAATGAGTAGGTGGCTGGCGCAAAAGTATCAGTAGTTAGCTGTAACTGACAAGATAGTTGAGCCGAGGATTCCGCTGAGTCAAGATCTCCAGTTTGATACTGATAATAACCTAGATCAGAGTAAGCCTGCATTTTCGCAATGTTCGAAATCGAATCTTCTTTGAGCAGTAATTCACAGAACTGTTTCGCACGAGTATACTCTTTCATATAACCCAAAAAACTACTCATAACGAGTAATGTCGATCTCTCACCAACATATTTTTTCAGAAAATATTCCCTAAGTGATTCATCTATGCCAGTTTGCTCGATTAAAGTTAGTTCGATTACCCAAAAGTCATCAGTCCAAGCTTCAACATTGCCGATGCGAAATACACTGCCCATGTTGAAAAGTACTTCACTCTCATGTTGATTATAACTTACATCCTGTATCTTTGCAAAAGATGTTTTCAGTGGTTTATCGTTCTTGTTTTCAAATTTGATCTGGAATAGAACACACTCAAAATAAGGTCGAACAAAAGCGCCTGAATTAAATGATAAAGCTACATCGCTTTTGGTGGTTGTTGATAAAAACGTATTCACAGAATAGATACCACCTTTATTATGTTTGAGTTTCCGAAATTCGTCTGCCGAAATTATTTGGCCACGGTAGACAGTCTCTAACGACAATTCTTTCTTCTGTAATTGATAAAGATGATCTAATTGTTGTTGCAAATCTACGAAATAGTAGCGAAACTTGAAGATATTGTCAATATTTCGAGTTCGGAATGCACGGTTAATAAGGCGAAATAGAAAACAGTCACGTGTGTACCATCGAATAGCATGGTCAGTAGTATAGGAGGCCTCAAATTCAGCGATTTTCTTCAACTCCGGTTCATTTTTAGCATAGCAACGTCGACATTCTTCGATTAATTCTTTTTTGCCTTGTTCACTCTGAGGTAACCGAGACAAAACATCGATGAGTAATTGAAACCACATAAAATTTGCTTGATCTTTGTCAATGTTTTGAAATGATGTTTGGTGTACATCTTGCATCGTAAATATATTCGCAGGAACGAAATGATGCATAAGTAATTGGGCATCACGCTGTACAGCTTCAACTAGCTGTTCTGCTACGTTAAAAACACCGCGAACTTTTGAGTATTTACCTGCCCATTCTTTATGTTTAATGGAATCGTCACAAAAAATAAACACACTAACGATCTGTGTTTTTTCATGCACAAGCGATAATATAGTATCACCCAAAGATCCACTGATGATCAGAAGTACCTTATCGGCCATGGCGAGTGTCGACAAATGAGCTTGACAAGCCTCGATTGTGTTTATAACATGAAGACAAGTAAATAATTGATCCAGATCGACTCGACGATTAAGATAGTCTGGTTCAGCCATGTTTTGAGTTCGTTGCTGATCTAGCCAAACTATTTCAAATTCTACATCTAGTTTTTTCTTCATCAAAAATTCTTCACGTCTTTATTGTGCGCTATGTATTTGTATTGACACAAAATGAATGAAGAAACGATGGTAGTTACAGAAGAAAAGAAAAAAAACAGGCTGTCACTAACCATTACAAACGGCCGCGCGTGCAAAAACAGAACGTAGTTACACAGAATACGATTTTCTTTACATGCCACTTTCACTGTTTAGAGTGGTAAGAAAGACAAAAAATATTTATTGCTCTACTCTCAATATATGTCTGGTTTCTGTAGGTAACGAAAGAGAACACAACAGTGCATTATTTTTGAGTTTGTCACAATTTATATGTACGAGGTATTTCGATCGATATAGGTGGCAGTACGGATCACACATGAATATATTATTTACGTCTATTCTCAGAGCTATATACACGTTCATACCCTCCAGCACAACTATACAACAAGATATTTTATGTACATTGTATTTTATTTTTGCAATACATCTTGTAGTATATATTTTTAGGGTGCGGGTATGTGTGCGGCTAAAGAAGAAGGACTCATATTCATACCCCACAGGCATCTTCAACCTCAAGATAGTTAAAAAAGATATGATTTCTTTACCAAGTACAGTATATATACAATGCTAATTAAGATTATTCGTATAACAAATAAATGGGGTGGGTGTAGATATTGAGAAAATTCATACTCATACCCACACCCTCAAAGAACTCGAAAAGGTCGACATTTCATTACAAAAGGCTGGTAAAGTTGAATACAGTAAGTGATTTATTTATAAATATCCCAATTCAACTGAAATAAATGAAACACTGAGCTTTTCTCCATCAATCAATGAGCTACCAAAGTATGTAATGTACTGTCATTATTTTTTATTCTTAAAAAATACTGATCATTTGACTTCATTGTGTACTTTGTTTAGTAAGGACTGAGTAGTATCATATCCATCTGCTAATTTTAAAATTTCTTTAATATAATATAAAGTAAAACAAAAAAAAACGCAAATATCAGTCATAGAATGAAGTAGTATAGAAGAAACGCTAGAAGGATATTGTTGTTATAGAAAACTTCTATGCTCAATCAAAGAGAGTATGTGGAAAAATTTGTCAGTTTGATCATAATTTCTAGAATACTATGAAATATCGAGTATTTCAAAATGTTTGAAAAACAACATTTTCTTCTACATATATCTCTTTCCAACCAAATGATAAAGTATATGTTCTTCTCATAAAAATAGTACCACATGAAATCATCTACCACAAAACTATAGGAGTAAAACGCTATTCCCTGGTTCGAATAGCTTTCTTCACATTCGATATAAAAAAAGAATGCACGATACTGATACTTTTTACCATATCTTACGATAAAAATATTTGAAAAATCTTTGTATTTTAGATATATGATGGTTTAAGAACTTGATATTTTTTCTCAACAGATTTCTTGTCATAAATACTATTATAACTATGCCAGTTATATTTTCAATGATCTTTTGAAATGAATAGATAGCGTAGATGTTGATTAAAATTAGTCATCTATAAGTAATTGTCGATATGTACATTGATTAGCAGATAAAAATAGTGCAAACAATCCAACTTCCAACTAATCGACAGATTAACAAAGGATAATATTAATATACACTTACTAATAATTATATGAGATAATTATTCACCATTAAAAATTAATTCGATAAAAATAAATCAGGAATATCTATCGTGATGATATTCAAAAATCCTTTTCAATTTTATAGTTATATCTGATCGATAAGATTTCATTCATTGCAGAACATAGAATTTTTAGATTGTTACATTTTATAATACTCTTTATGGAACTTATTATTTCACCATTATTTACAGTGGTGATACTCTAACAGAGACCTTTGAAAAAAGGATAGCTTTTTCGCAAACTATTCTTCCTTAATTATTTGGAATATTGTCATGTACTAACTGAGTTTTTAGAATTATGTAACAACATATATTGCAATATTTCCCAGAAAGAATAAAAGCGACACACACACATTCATGTATTATATATCTTATCTACAATAACAAACATCGTGTGTCTCCGCGAAGGGTGGGTGTGGGTGTGGATCTGTATTCTTCATCTAAATCCGGAGCCACTTACATCCACACTCAAAATGACAACTAGATTATGATCAGTTAGAAGTATAAAAATAAAAACAACAAAAATGGTCCTTAGGATTATGTGTATGATCTCATAACATCAGATCCTAACCGAGTTGTAGATAAAGTTAATATTCATCGTTCGATTCTCATTTATATGTTCAAAGAAATCTCAGACTTTACTAAAAAAATAAACAAGTCATCTTTCTATTCATGAAACGGCCGATGACTACATTTAAATGAATGACTCATTGGAATAGAATGCGAGATAACATAAATAAGTCATTAAAATATTTCTTTCTTATTTTTCATTTAATTAATTCATTTTCCTGTATTATATAATTTTAATCTAGCTTTGTATAATCTTACAGAAACAACTCATATGAGTACTCACGCTGGCAGGTTGTACTCGTTTGATGAGTACTTTCACTAGGATTAAATGATCAGTCACTAGTAATTAAATTAAGCGCAGCTTCTATCCTAATTGTTTTTCTAATCGGTTTATTGAATGGTTTTCCATAATCGTAATTCTTGTAAAGTACGATTTGAAATGCATCTTCAATTATATCTATTCTGATTGCCAGTATGTTAATTATAAAATTCTGGTTTGTAAGGGTGAGTGGATGTGGGTATGAATGGAATATAAAGATGATACCCTCTCCCATCTCACGCACATTCATATCCATGCCCTCACAACTTTTTGACTAGTTTATGTTAATATTTATTGTTGAACAAAAATAGTTGTTTACAACAGTATTACAAGGTACTTGATTACAATAAATAAAGAAACTCATGATGATACAACATTTAACAGTTAGTCTGGTATTACGGGTAGCTTGTGTTAATAATTATGAACCATATATTAACGCCAGATAATCTTTTTGATTTCAGATCGAAATTTCCTCGACATGATAAAATTGGTATAGAAGCCAACACAATAGGGGATATAAGAACTAAACAGAGCAAAATTCATAAGTAAGATTCCGAGTTGAATTTCAGCAAGACTAGATGATCGACTTTGAAGTATCTGTATATATATAAGAGCAGGTGGCATCATTGCACTGAATATGATATATATACTAATATCAATAATTAAAATTTGAATAAGTTGATTATTCTTTGAATGAGTAGGACGTGCAGTAACAGCAGCTGTGGTGACAGCAGTAACAGCTGTAGTGGCAGTAGCAAAATTGACCTGATGTCTTTTCCGAAGATTTCTCACAGTCCATGCTCCCAAAATAATCATCGATAAAGGAACTAGAATGTCTTGAATTAAAATTATATAATAATTCATAAATGATGCATAGAGTCCAGGCTGGAAAGAGCAAATGATAACATTTGGTGCTGGTTCGATATTATGGGTCAGAAATAATGCATGAATATGAAATAATAACCAAAATAATGTTACACCTATGATGCATATATAAGTTAGACGTAAAGTACTTCGTTGTCTTGTTAGAGCATTTGATGAAGTGATTAATATTCGATCAATTGATGCTAATATTAAATAAGATGGACTTAAAACAGCTGACAAAAGCAGGGTATAAAAATGAAAATGACAGAAACTTAGACTATATAAAGTAAGATCAATATTATAACCATTTGATAGTATCCCTAATAACACAGTTGTATAAATTTGTAGAAGATTACCAATATTATATGCCACCAAATATATTGCGCATGGATTTTTTCGTAGAATTTTTTTTGTAAAAACAATCAAACTAAGTACACAACTTATAGTACCCAGAATCATTAAAATTGGTCCACCGTATTTATATAAGTTTGTTTGTGCTGATGTAAATAATGAAATGTCATCTATTTCCGAAGACATTTTAGTCGATTTATCTAAAAGAAAAAAGAAAAAAACATTCATTGTAAGAGATATTATGTTAAAAACAAGTAATTTCAAAATTCTTTTCTGAAGTATTTTATACTAAGATTTTAATTAAATATTCTATCACACTCTATGCCCTTGTTTATCACATATTACAATAATGTTTTGACATACCAATTACAACAAAGATAGACTAAGAAATCATATTAACAGATTATGACGCAAAGAAAATGATTACTTATACTGCCTATTAATATATTATGTTCGTCATTAACACTATCTATCCGATAAAAATGTTGTTTATAATGGCACAAGTAAAAAAAAAAGGTTGAAAAAAAGCGTTCCCATTTATATGAAGAGAACAAAGTTCATGTGCCTACATGACTATAAATATCTTTTGTGCTCTCGAAGATAACAGTTGGAGATATAATAATTAACATTTTAATACAAAATTGTCTAGCTCATAATATATACAAAGGAAATGCCGCTGCACACTCAGGTCGGCTAAAATGAATGACTTTATTAGATTGATGATTGTTTTATTTTAACTACAGTAAAACTTCCCTAATGTGAACGCCAACGGGACCGGAAGAAAGTGTTCATTATACGGAGGTGTTCACTATAGAGAGTTAATATATAATATAGCGTGAAATGGAAGAAATCTTAGAGTATTTGCTTATGCCTTTGAGTAGCTGTCTAATTTGAGCTCGACTATAAATGGATCTTAAAAAAAGAAAAACTAATACCTATTTCTAGCAGTAGATTTAGTTTTAGAATAATTTTTAGATAAATCTCTCTCACCCACTTTACCACCTTCTTTCACCCACCCCTTGGTCGTATATATGAATCATATACATCTTAGAGTAAAACTAAACCTAAAACTGAATCTATTCCTAGATTTCACTATTCATTTCAGAATTAGTAGTGTGCAGTTGGATATCTATTAATATTCGAATTCGAATTAGGTAGCTCTTCAAAACATATGACAGAAAGTAGAAGAGGTCAAAAAAGCAACATACATGTGTATATGTCCCAGACAAAATTTGCTATTCTTTCCGCGTGGAAACTCGAATTGCTTTTGTTTTTTGGTTGGAAAAATTCGTAATAATTTATCAGATAAATAACGTATCAATTGCTTAAGAGAAACTTATCTTAAAATATTTTATTGAGTAGACATGATATTTGCACGATCTGAAATCATAAAAATTATTCAATGAGATAAAAATAATCATTCTATCCACCTCACTCATGAAAAAAACTTTATGCTCTTCTTTGAAACAGTTTTCGTTATGTTTTGTTTTATACATCGACCGCACTCTATATCTTTTAAAACTTTATTTTATTTTCTATTGAAAACAACTTGCGAACTCTACATCTTCCTAAAACTATTCAATTTCAACTGAATACAACTTACAAATTCTAAAGTTTTGTAAAATTTAAAACTATGATAAGAACTGAATTATTTTTTCATTTTTTTAAAATTTAGTTTAATTTTACCTAAATCTTAATTCTGTCTGACATATATATGTTCACATTGGAGAGGTGACAATACCAGACAGGACCGTAAAAAAGCGTTTACTGTTCAGAATAAGGAGGTGTTCATATTGGAGAGATACATTTCCAACAAAACTCGCTCCGTCGGACCTGAGACCGTTCATAAAACAGAGGTGTTCACTACTAGAGGTTTTACTGTATTTCTACCATAGAGTGAGCGAGCAGAAATAAGAGCCGTTCTGTGAGAAATAGTTATTGTTTCTATTTTGTGAAGACTTCTTCAGATGGATTAAATGATATAAGTAAAGCGACACAACCTTTGATAAGCCCTCCATTCAAAGAAGGCTTGCTTGACGAAGCAAAAATGTTCGGTCATGAAGTTTCAAGTTTCTTCGATCTATTGGTTTAGGTGTGGGTAAATAAATGATCAATCCACACCCACAC